GAGATCCCCCAAGATTACTTAAGTGTGAGGCGTCAACCTGGTGAAGCTGCAAAACAGGACTGTCTGCATGCCAAGCAGCAAGTCAGACACAGCTAAATAATTCTATAACCAATGGATCAGATCTCAGCTTTGCAGTCCTGTCTCATTCAGTTATGTGTGGTGGTGGACAATTAAACAGTTCACTAGAGAAAGAAGCTGTACAAGTATCCCTATCCTTAATAATGGAAGAGACCAGCACATCAATAGATGATCAATTTCAGCATTTTCTAGAGGTTCCCAGCATCAGATTCCAGTCTTGAGCCAGTTCTATTCACTTCTTGTATCACGAAACAGCTGGGAACTCTGGATAATGCAAAGGCTATGGCCCCTCACAATATCCAACCAATAGCACTGAAGACCTGTTCCCCAGAGCTAGCTGCAGCCCGAGCTGTTCTGATACAGCTACAACACTGGCATTTGCCTGACAATGTGGAAAATTGCCCAGTAATGTCCTTTTCACAAAAATGCAGGACAAATACTACATGATCAATTACTGTCCCATCAGTCTACTCTTGATCATGAGTAAAGTGATGAAAAGTATTATCAAGAATGTTATCAAGCAGCATGTGCTTAGCAATAATCTGCATACCAACATTCGATTTGGGTTCTGCAAGGGCCACTCAGCTCTTGAGGTGATTACAGCCTTAGTTCAAACATGGACAGGAGAGTTAAAATCCAGCGTTGAGATGAGAGTGACTGCTTTTGACATCAAGGCCATCAAGGCCTAGCAAAACTGGAGTCAGTGAGAAGTAGGGAAAATACTCTGCAGATTGGAGTCATATCTGGCACAAAAGAAGATGGCTGTGGGTGTTGGCGTTCAGTCATCTCAGCTTCAGGACATCTCTGCAGGAGCTCTTCAGTGTAGTGTCCTACCAACCAAATTTAGCTCTTCATCAATGATTTTCACTCCATCATAAGGTCAGAAGTGTGGATGTTCACTGATGTTTGCATAGCATTCCACACCATTATGACTCCTCAGATACTGAAGCAATCCATGGCCAAAGTAGCAAGGTCTAGACAATATCCAGGTTTGCGCAGATATGTGGCAAATGATATTTGTACCATACAAACCCTAGGCAATAACTATTTCCAATCAGAGAGATCCTAACCATTGTCCCTTGATTTTCAATGGCGCTATTATCACTGCTCCATTAGCAACACCCTGAGAGTTAGCGTTGACCAGAAAGTGAAATGGGCTAGTCTTGTAAATACTATGGATACAAGAGCAAGTTGGAAGCTAGGAATACTGCAGTGAATAACTCACCTCTTGACTCCCCAATGCCTGTCTACAACCTGCAAGGCACAAGTCAGGAGCATGATGGAATACTCCCTACTTGCCCAAATGAGTGCAATTCCACAATACTCAAGAAGCACAACACCATCCAAGACAAAGCATTCTACTTGACATTCATAAGCATTCACTCTCCACCACTGACATTTAGCAGTAGCAGTGTGTACCACCTCCAGATGCACTGCACCAAATCATCAATGTTCCTTTGACAACACCTCCCAATCTCTTGACCACTACTGTTGCGGACAAGTGCAGCAGATGCAATAGAATACCACTACTTCCATATTCCCCTCCAGGGCACACTCCGATCTGAATTGGAACTGTGCTATCATCCCTTCAGTGTCACTAGGTCAGAATCTTGGAACTCCCTCTCTACCTAAAAGAAATGGACTGCAGCGGTTCAAGAAAGCAGCTCACTTATACCTTCTCCAGGGCATATATGAATGGGCAATAAATGCTGGTCCAGCTGGTGATGCCCACAATACATGAATAAATTTTAAAGGATCTCCTCCCAACCACTTTTCCAAGAAACTCAGTTATAACTGCAGCAACTCTATCAGCATTTCTGAAATTCTTTATCAATGGAACCATTCTTGTGAATATTTTCTGCATTCCCTGTAATACCTTCACATACTTCCTAGAATGCAGTGCCCAGAACTGGATGCAACTTTCTAGTTGAGGCCAAACAGTGTTATGCAAGTTTCAGTATGATTTCCTTGCTTTTCTACACCACGTCCCTATTAATAAAACCTCTCAATCTGTCCTTTAATTAACTATGATTTGTACACATCTACACCCAGGTTCCTCTGTTGCTACATTCCATCTCCAATTATACTCTTCATCTTATATTGTCTGTTCACATTTTGTTTACCCAAAAACATTCACTTTGACAGTGTTCTGCATTAAATTTCATTATCTACTTTCCAGCCATTTCACCAACCTGTCTACGTCCATTTCATATTCCATGCTACCCTCATGGTTTACAATATGTCCAGGTATTTTTATATCATCTGCTGAGTCTAAAATTGGGCCCTGTGATCATTAGGTTGCTGGTCTTAACACTGACCCCTGGGAAACTCCATGGTAAATCTTCCTCCAGTCAGAAAAACCATCATTCACCTCTACTCTTCGTTTCTAGTCAGAAGAGTTTCTAGTCAATTGGCAAATCCTATGTTCATGTCGCTACTGTTCTTTTATTCCATTAACTCTATTTTGCAGTCTATTGTGCAATGTTATTAGGTATCTTTTTGAAGTCCATGTAACAACATCAACTGTGTTTCTTTTATCAGCCCTCTATTATCTTATGAAGAAACTCAAATAGGTTCATCAAACATAACTTGCCCGAATCTGTGCTAGTTTTCTGTAATTTACCCATATTTGCCCAAGTGTCTAGTAATTTTGATCTGAATGATTGATTGTTTTTGAAAGCTTCTTCACCAGTGGGGTTTAACTGAATGGCCTGTAGATGGCTTATGCTCCTTTTTGAACAAAGATATAAAATTTGCTGCTCTCCTGTCCCATACTCACCACCCATAATCGTGCAGAATACCAGAAAATTATAGTGCCTTCATAATTTCCATTCTCACTATCGTCCATATCCTTGTGTGCATCTCATCTAGTCCTGGTGTCTTATCAACTTTTAGGTACAGAGAATTTATTTGGCGTTTAAACCCTTCAAGTGATTGAACTCTTTCTTACCAAGACCTGTGGAATAACAATTTCCTTGATAAAGACAGATGTAAGTCATTCACTTCATACCTCCTGCCTCCATAAGTAAATCCAATTTCTGGTCCCCATTCAGCCCCACTCCTTTTACCACCCTTTTATTTATGTGCCTATTGAAGACTTTTGGCTTTTCTTTTTTTATGTTAGCTCCCTGTTTCTTGAAATCCTCTTTCATTGTCTTTCCTATTTGTTTCCATCTTTTGAGTGTTGTTTCTGGTAATTCTATTTTTGGTTATTCTGGTTTCTAATGATATGTGATAAGGATCTTTTGACATTCTTACCAGTTAGATGTTCCCATATTTTCTTGAAATTGCTGTTTCACTTTCACACCCAAATGTGATGTTGTCTGTCTTTCTAAGCCTCCTTTTAAGTGATTAAGCTTTTCTTTATACCTTGTTGAACACCAATTTAATTAATAGCATATTTGTGTTGTCTCCATGTTCCCTTTCAGGCATATCTTTTTTCTGCCAGCTGCCATGGTGTCATTCATAAATCTTTATCTGACCTCATTAGTTATCTTTAATTTTCAATCAAATCTATATTTCTAACCAGGCATCATGACAGTGTAACCATTGTCGATTTGTCATAAAAACTCAATTGGTTTTCTAATGCATTTTGGTAGAAATTTGTTCTTGCTACCTGGTGAGGCCTACAACAATGTTGTTGACCCTTAATGACCCTCTGAAATGGTTTAGCAAGCCATCTGGTTGTAAAGAATGAAATTAAACCCGAGGAATCACCTAGCACTGGTCTAGGCAGCAGAATTGACAACTGCAAACCCAATGGTTCAAGAAGGCAGCACCACCTTCTGCAAAGTAGGCAATCAGAGATGGACAATTAATGCTGGCATTGCCAGTGACACCTATATCCCATGAACAAATTTTAAAATAAGTCACTTCTTTCAGCATTCAGAACAGTTTGGAGAATGCAATACTTTCAGTGGATTCCTGCACTATCTCCCTATTCCATCTTGCCTATCTCAGGTTCACCTATTCTCATGCTCTATGCTTACGCTTATGCTGTGGGGTGACCATGTCTATAAGCATAAGGACACCAGTTGCTACTCGGGTTTTGAAACCCAGAGCTCAAGCATCTGCAACCGTGACGCTTTGTAGCCATATGGCTAGTGTTGCAGGATAAGTGTCCTTGAGTTTCCACATAGCGCAAGATGTATGCTCAAGGAGTTGGAGCTTTCCTGCCATTTTATCTGTTAGATCAAAAAAAACCTTGATACTACTAATAACCCTTAATATTTTATAAAGGACCCCTCAGCTATTCAGTGCCTTTCTCTTGACATCGCTTAGAATTAGTAAAGATGAATGCTTAACCCTGCATTGCAATTAATGTAAGAAGTTAGTTTTATTCTGTAAGAAGTATGGCAAAGATGAAGAGATTTATTTTTCTTTTTGTCATGCCATATACTGGGTCATTTAAGTAAAGTGGCAGAACTTCTCTTAGTGCTCACTATGCTATTATGTTTACAAGCTTTGAGGCTACATTATCCAATTCAAAATTAAGCATCCTGGGGGCTTGTTAAATATTATCATAAATTTGTTCTAATCACAATGTTTTATCTTTGTTTCTGCCAAACAATACACGAAAATAAAATCAGAGTGGGAATTTTTTCAGGAGCTGTTTTATTTTCTCCGATGAGGCATTCTGAGCTTATCTTAGTCATGACTTCCACTGTGGTGGTGGTTTTTTTGCTAGATGGATTTAACATTAGATTGAAACTTGAGACCTTGCTTTAAACATGCTCACTTGAAATGGGACAGCTGTTGGATAATAGACAAGGTAGCAGTTCCAGACATGATCTCACCTGCTTTTAAATATTTCTGCATAAAAGCTGTATCTCAGCTATAAACATTTGAAGTTGCTGTTCATTTGCAGGTTAATAGTATGACCGGGTGCTCGTGTAACTGCTGTGTTTTGTTGTCTTTTGAAGGTTATGGGGCAATGGCAGAGATATCAACAATCGTGGAAAAGGTAAAAGAATACTTGGAACAGTCTGCATAGCTGCTGATGATGGGGGACCCAGAGACAACTTTGAAACATCCACAATCTTTCACTTCATTTTCTGTAGAATATCAGTTTATTACTTATAATCCTAATCAAATTATGCAAGCATTATTATTACTCAGAGTTGGTTACTGAAACTAAAGTGATTGAAAATCAACTCGACATGTTGTAAATTGGTAGGCTACTGCTTGGAAACTGCCTGCAATGTCAAAAATTCACCAGTAATCTTGTTATAAGGCTGTTGAGGACAAGCAGCTTCTGTGAACGTTCCTGTCTGAGGTGAGATGTTAGCCCAGGCACCTGCCCACATTATGACTTCGCCTGTAAAGGAAATATGCTTCAGACTAAGACCATGTAGCAGTGAACATCATAACTGCTGCACCCTTGTAGTATTGAACAATTTGGGCATACATGATGCCAGGTTTATGCCAGTAGAAGATGGCATCGGCAGTTTAATACAATGGATTAACACATTCAGTCTGAATTATAGAATTACATTTCTTTTATAAGCAATATTTAAGAACAACTGTTATTAATATTTATTGTCTGAAGCATTCGCTGTGTATTGCTAGATCAGACACTTGTTCATGATGTGCTCCAATTCTGTCTTGTGTTACCTTGAAACAAATGCTTGGTTTTATAATGGTCTTGTGCATGTGATGAGAACTTGCCTGATGCAAAAGAATTTAAAAATAAAAAGTAGATTTTCCAATTGATGGGATCAGCCCAATCAATGTAGAATGTAAGATTTGTTTTTCTTTTGCTACATAAGTGGCTAATTAGTGAAAGAATAAATTTGCATTTACAAATGTTCCTTTCATGGCCTCAAGACATATCAAAGTCCTTTACAGCCAATGAAGTAATTTTGAAGTTTAGCCACTGTAATGTAGGAAACACAACAGCCGGTTTGCAAACAGCAGGCTCCTGCAAACAACTGAGAGAAAATTTCCAGATTGTCTGTTATAATGAGGTTTGTTAAGGACACCTTTGATTGTGGATATTCTCCAAAATGGTGCAGCACTTTTCATTCTTTAATTCATCTTGGGATGTGGGTGACCCTGGCTGGGCCAGCATTTAATGACCACTTCTAATTTCCCTGGAGAAGGTGATGGTAAGCTGCTGCTTTGAACTGCTACAGTCCTTGGGTGTAGGAACACCCACATTTTGTGGTACATGGTGCAATTAACCAGTATAGGAGCGATGTCTGCAGCCAGAGTTAAATATACTCCAACAGTGGAACATACCCTCAGAATTGCACAATAGGCTGGGTATTTATGTTCATGTGTCTGTAGCAGTACAGTTTTCTTGCAGTTTAAAGTTAGATGCTTAAATATAACATTAAAGGTCTTTTGAATTATACCTTGCATAGGACTGGATTAGGCTGTTTTCATCCATCTGTAATGAAAGAAACAATGAGTTTGAGGGAGATGTTAAAGTTCCTGGTTTATATGAATTTTCTTTCATTTACATTGCATCATTCACTTTATTTTTAAGGGATGATGGAAGGAATCATGACTTAAAATATCAAAACATTTTGGGTTCTGCAGGAGGCTTGAAAATATTTTTTTTACAAGTTCGGCAGAACAAGATTGTTATTAAACAGCAGCATACAAGCAAAGGGCTAATTACAGCACACTGTTGCTCAGGGTGATATAGAGTTCCAGGCTGGATGTTGAGCCCAAGCCCAAAGTTAATGTGGTCTTGCATTTAAACCTTCTACAAACAAACTCAATAAATGGCTGAAGTAGTAGAAGGTGAAAGCAAGTCAGGAATATCAGTTAGCACTTCAAGATATTTTTTGTCAATCAAAAAGATGTTATTAACAGCTAATTATTATTCAACATTTTTAAATTGGGAGAAGTTTCTCAGAATTGCTACTGTAGAGAAGGAAGCCATTCAGCTCATTGTGCACCCAAAGTTGACTTTAATTTTATTCATTTGGGATTTGCTTTGACCTTTTAGACTTCCAACAGAACTTAGACTTGCCCTAATGAGATGAAGCAGAAAATAATAATGTCTCATGTTTAAATTTTTGTTGGACTCCTCTGATGGAAAATTTACTGCACAGGGAATTTGAAGGTGGATTTTCTTGACGTGGATTTAATTGTAATGGTTTTGAACAGGAGGACAACAGTATCTGAGCAACATAAACCATTTACAGCAAAAATGGAAATCACTGGAAAACTTCAGCCCTGAGGAAGGGTCACTTGCTCCGAGATGTTAACTCTGATTTCTCTCCACAAATGCTGCCAGACTTGCTGAGCTTTTCCAACAATTTCTGTTTTTGTTTGATTTACAGCACCTGCGGTTCTTTCAGTTTTTATGAACCCTTTACTATAAACGCTTGCAGAGGAGAAGGACAGGAAATTCACTGAGTGACAGTTCAATGGGAATGGAGCCAACATAAGAGAAGGTGCTCCACCTAATAAAGTGAGGCTGAAAGAGGAGGCTTGAGATTGACAGAAGTTCTGGTTTTGAGGGTTGGAGAAGGTAGCAGAGGCAGCTGAAGAAGCAGTCCTAATCTTAAAAAGATAATCATGAGATTTTCAACTGGAAATGGCAGTAGTAAAAGATTTTAAGAGATGGTTTACAGTAAAGTAAGGAAGCTAGGATTTAGGTTGCTCTTGAGGATTGAACATTGAGTGACTTTGGTAGAGAAAAGCAAAGTCCAGTGGTTTTAATGGATATGATGATGGATGGCTAAATTTGTGTGACAGATAAGTTCATATCCTCTATCTTGCAATTGACAACTGAGGATAGACAAGAATGAGAGAATCTAAATATTTTGCTTGCGACAATGTAATTATAAGAGCCTAAAAACTAGGAGCAAGAGTAGGTCATTCAGCCCCTTGAACCTGCTCCGTCATTTGATACATTAATGGTTGGTCTCATCTCAGCCTCAACTCTACTTTTCTGCTCTCTCTCCATAACCTTTCAACCTATTATTAATTAAAAATATGCTCATCTCAAATTTATTCAATGTCTCGGCAACCACCTTGCTCTGGGATGGTGAATTCCACAGATTCAGTGAGGGAATTGACATGTTTCCAGTCTGTTTTATCCCATGATGCTGAAATAACTCCACAGAGGCCAGTATCCCATCACGAAGTCATCCTTTATTTACACACAGAAAGTTCTTGATACTAGTCCAGCTTCGTCAGAGCCAGCTCTCGGAGTGAACAGGATGGTTAATGCTCCTCTTAATCTGTCAACCAGAGTTCCCTGATTGGGGCTGTTAATGTGGTCCAATCAGGGAATTAATTCTATGAGGTCCATTTAGCTGACCACATTACAATCACTACTGACACCTAAATCTCCAAGCAACTGGATGTTGAGAAATCAATAACGAGAAGTTTACCTAGGAGCAAATTACTGCAGATGCTGTAATCTGTACTAAAAACAACAAATACTGGAGACCACAACCGGTTAGACGGAATCTATGGTCTCCAGCATTTGTTGTTTTCATGAGAATGTTTATGTTGCTTCTCTCAGCCATAGGCATTACAACAGGTTCTGCCTAATGAGATACTCTCAGCAGCATTGCTGCAGTGTCTGAATTGTGCTTCAACCTGCTCTCTTCTCAGGAGTACTAATGTATATATCCATCTTCATTCAAGGATTTCACAGGACTGCCCAAAACTCAAGACAAAAGAAAAATCTGTCTTAGCTATGAGTGTATGCCTTAAGGTTAAAATAAGCTGTCCTAATTTTCTACATTGGAGCTTATATGTATTGTTTACTTGTAAAGCCCTACCAATGTAGACAAAAACATATTAATTGTAGAGCTAGGCCTCAAAAGATTTTGAAAGAAGTCACAATAGCTACAGAAATGTTTACAAGTTGACCATTAACTTCAAACACGCACAAAATGCCATGTCTCTCACTCGTCTAGAATCCAAGAACACAAACTTGAAACATATGCTATTAAAGATATATGTAAATTAATATCCTTACATCACATTACCCATAAATATTGAAATATCCTCTATTCAGAGTATACTGAATCCTGTTTCATATGAGGCCATGCGTTTGTGTGCTGGGCCACAAGACTGAATTGTACAATAAAAGCTCCCAGTTTTAAATGGAACTGTTATGCATCATGCTGTCAATCATGGCTATTTACAAGGAGAAAGGAAAGAGGAGAAAGTGGTATTTTCCAAAAGGAGTTAGAGAATAACACTCAGTGGGAAGAATGGTGCAGCATTGCAGGAAAGGAATCACCTGCTAGTTAGTATTTTTTTATTGATTATTTTATGGGATGTGGGCATCATTGGCAAGACAAGTATTTATTGCTTATCTCTAACTGCCATTGAATAGAGTGGCTTGCTCAGCTATTTCAAAGGGCAGTTAATAATCAAGCATATTGCTATGGGTCTGGAGGCATATGTAGGCCAGACTAGGTAAGGATGGCAGATTTCCTTCCCTGAAGAATATTCATGAACATTTGGGTACCTGATGGCCTAATTAATCCAGAGACCCAGCTAACATTCTGGGAACCGGGTTTGGATCCTGTCATGTTGGATGGCGCAATTTGAATTCAACAAAAATCTGGAATTAAGAGTCTGATGATGACCATGAATCCCTTGTTGAAAAGAAACATCTGATTCACTAATAAATGTGGTATACTGTATCTGCTGTTCCTGATGTGGCCTTCTCTACATCGGAGAAACCAAGCGGAGGCTTGGGGACCGCTTTGTGGAACACCTACACTCGGTTCGCAACAAACAACTGCACCTCCCAGTCACGAACCATTTCAACTCCCCCTCCCACTCCTTAGACGACATGTCCATCCTGCAGTGCCACAACGATGCCACCCTAAGGTTGCAGGAACAGCACCTCATATTTTGCTTGGGAACCCTGCAGCCCAATAGTATCAATGTGGACTTCACAAGCTTCAAAATCTCCCCTTCCCCGACTGCATCCCAAAACCAGCTCAGCTTGTCCCTGCCTCCCTAACCTGTCCTTCCTCCCACCTATCCCCCCCTTCCCATCACAAGCCCCACCCCCATCTCCTACCTACCAGCCCCATCCCGCCCCCTTGACCTGCCCATCCTCCCTGGACTGACTTATCCCCCCCCTAACTCCCCACCTACACTCACCTTTACTGGTTCCATCCCCGCCTCTTTGACCTGTCTGTCTCCTCTCCACCTATCTTCTCCTTTATCCATCTTCTATCCGCCTCCCCCTTTCTTCCTATTTATTTCAGAATCCCCTTCCCCTCCCCCGTTTCTGACGAAGGGTCTAGACCTGAAACGTTAGCTTTCCTGCTCCTCTGATGCTGCTTGGCCTGCTGTGTTCATCCAGCTGTACACCTTGTTATCTCAGATTCACTAATGTCCTTTAGGGAAGGAAACTGCCATCCTTACCATGTCTGGCCTACATGTGACTGCAGAGCCAGCCATTTTAACCAATATGAGTATTAGCTTGGGCCTCTGAATTTCTAGTTCAGTGACATTACCATTGTTCCCCCTTGTTGCAGGGAAGATTTTAAAAGCATGTTGCCGGTCTCCTTTCTGCATTATTGTAAGAGAAGTAACTGCAGGCGGATTACTTGGTGCACGATGGAACATAAGGGAAACCAGTGGTTTTAAATAAATAGGCCAGATGGAGAATAATGGAGCAGGATATGTGTGGTTATCACCTTATTTTAGAAAGATTTTCCTGTGGTTCAGTGATATGCTTAGACTTTAACCACGGTCTGGTAAGAAATAA